GAACGGAAAACAAATTGTGGCGAGGACTGGAGGGTTCTCAGGATTAGAGTTAGGATTAGGCTTGAATCTGAAAGTAAGCTCAGCAGAAAGGCGATTCTCCTAGGTGGGTACGTTTTTCTAATTATGTAACTTTCGCTAGGTATTTTTCCTTTTTAAAAAATGGCACGTTAATCCCCCCCCCCAAAAAAAATGGCATGTTAAGAATTTAGTATAAAATGGAGCTTAAGTTTTTTAACCTCAAACCATACTTATTTCTGTATTTATTAAAGAAATTAAAACTTTTTAGAGAAACTTAAAGGATGATGGGTGAGGGCGGCAGTGTTAGCTTTGGCCCCACATCAGAAAAATTAAAGATCCGGCGCTGCCAGTATGTCATTATCTGATAACTTACAAAAATTTAATATTGTTTTCAATTCTGTATATAGTTATTGATTTTGTTTTATGCATAAACAGATATGCTACTTTCCTGCCGAATTTTGTGTCAATCAAAGCAGTATTTGTTGATTTTTTTTGCATTTTACATATGTGTGCTTAACTTTTGGATGTGAGTGTATATGATGTGACTGATATGCAACCTGTATTCTCAAATGTGTTCACAAATGTCATAGATTTGGCTGTGCTTTCATCAACTTATTTTTCCACAAGGCTTCCATGCAGAGCCTAATGGCGAAACACATAGTAATTAATCACACAAATGTCCTGAGCAGTGGCCGAGTGATTAAAACCGCTGAATACTGGTAGTTCGACCTTGCCCGTGTTCAAACCCAAGAGAACGGGCTGGCTGGATGGTTTCTTTTCGTGGATTTCCTCATGTGTAATGTGAATACTAGCCAGTTTCCTTTAAAATGTTCCTCCACAAAAGCACCTCTCCTCTAAGCAGGTAGCCCTCCTGTCTTTGCCATATTCGTATAATCTAACTCAACCTAATTTAACCAGTAATGCAATAATACGGAATAGTGAGACGCTTAGGGGATGCCCATTGTCCCTAGAACGGAAAACAATTGTGGCGAGGACTGGAGGTTCTCAGATTAGAGTTAGGATTAGGCTGAATCTGAAAGTAAGCTCAGCAGAAAGGCGATTCTCCTAGGTGGGTACGTTTTTTCTAATTATTAACTTTGGCTAGGTATTTTTCCTTATCGTCCCCCCCCCAAAAAAACATGGCATGTTAAGAATTTAGTATAAAATGGAGCTTAAGTTTTTTAACCTTAAACCATACTTATTTCTGTATTTATTAAAGAAATTAAAACTTTTTAGAGAAACTTAAAGGATAATGGGTGAGGGCGGCAGTTTTAGCTTTTGCCCCACATCAGAAAAATCAAAGATCCGGCGCTGCCAGTATGTCATTATCTGATAACTTACAAAAATTTAATATTGTTTTCAATTCTGTATATAGTTATTGATTTTGTTGTATGCATAAATAGATATGCTACTTTCCTGCCGAATTTTGTGTCAATCAAAGCGGTATTTGTTGATTTTTTTGCATTTTACATCTGTGTGCTTAACTTTTGAAAGTGAGTGTATTATGATGTGACTGATATGCAACCTGTATTCTCAAATGTGTTCACAAATGTCATGGATTTGGCTGTGCTGCCATCAACTTATGAAATCTGCAGTGTTTTTTCACAAGTTCGTCATAGTCTCAAAGTGCAAAGCTTATGGCCTAGTGCTCAGCAAGTGAAAAAGGGCTATCAAGACACATTAAAATTATAAATTGAGCAACAGCTAATGACATTGGAAAGTCAAGACAAAATTCTTTTCCTTCAAAGAAGGCTGTCCTTCTCTTTCCATGTGTGATTTGGAAAAGTACAGATACTGGAATGTTCAAAGTATTCACTATATGAGGTGTGTTCACTAATGCTGCATGTTCACTAATGTCAGATATGTATGGCAAAATGCAACCAATGTAGTTTTTAACATACAGTTTTCTAGTTTAATTAGAATGCATTATTTGTCTTAAGATTACTTTGCTTTTTGCCTCTTGTAGGTCATTTTTCTCAAGGTAAGGCTTAATAAGATCAGATATACTGACTTAAGTGGATTCTAAAATGCTACATTATTGCTTAAACAGTATTTGAATTTTCCTGAATGTAAATGAAAGGCTGCAATGTTAAACTATTTCAATATCAGATTTGTTCATTTAATATGAATTATTAGGGTTTTACAATGCAAAAATAAATCAAGAATCACATATATTGAAAGTAACCGTACCTAATGTGTGTAGTCTGACCTTAAAAATTGATTTTTTAAACAATAAGTGTTGGAAAAATTTAATTTATATATGTGAAATTAAAAAGAAAAACCATTCTGTTATCCTTAATTTAATATATCACATTTTGCATTCAGTGTAGCTATAATATGGTAATACTGACTGAGTTGAGCTGTAAATTTTATTCGCTTGTTGAAAAATGCCACCAAGTGCATCATAATTGTGGTGCTGCATTGCAGTTTCATCGTATAAGTTATTTTAAAATCAAAATAAACTGAAAATGCACAGAATCTAACGTCCTGCACCGGATGAGCTGAGAATAAGGTTTGTTGCGTTGAATCTACCTGAATATTATTTCATTCAGTCATTCTCGCCTTTAAGTTACATCTGACTCCATTCTATAACACTTGAAAAAAAATATTTCAAATAAACAATTACATTTTCTTGCTTAAGAAAGCCAAAACTTTATTTGCTTACACACTTAAAGAAATCAAAACATTATTCTAATCTTTCTTACTGTTGCCAAACTACAAAAGCAAAACTCCATCAAAAAAGGAAAACAACGGCTGTTGAATATTGTTAACGAATAAATCATAGAGCCCACAACATACCTTTATAACCTTTTTATTTTCTTAAAATGGTCTCTGAAAATCAAAATATTAAATAAAAATTTAAATTTTCTACTCAATAGATTTACATAGTATTCAGTTTACCCACAATATAAGTTAAATAATACTATAGAACATGTACTTAAAAAAAATAAATAAATAAATAAATAAATCACTTATAATGAGAAGGTTTGACAATTTTTCTGCCACATCTAGTTTTTAGTTCAAAATCAGTTTCTTTAAAGCTACTGTTCCTTTTAACATTTTCAGATTTATCAGAAACATATCTGTCATGCAGTGGTTTTTGTAGAAGTTCTTTTCATGCAATGTGATAAAATATGTAAATTCTCTTAATATATTTCTGCAGTGTATTTAGATGACATTAATTTTGCCCCTGGTATATGTATAAATGTTTCTAACAACAAGTGTTGTGAGTGCATCTTTTCTGATATGTCCTGTGTTCATTTTTGGCCTCTTCTAATAAGAGGATGTGCAAGTATATAAGTTTAAAGATGTCAGATCATCCAAGAATTTTATAAGTGTCTGAGCTTATAATTTCGAATCGTATACATAGACAGTAACCAATATCTATAACATCTGATATCGCTTTTCATGCCAAGCTGACAGCTTGTTTTCATGTTTTGTTTTCTGTGAGGGAGAAATTATTGGTGCCTTTTGTTTCAATTGTAAAGCAGTTTTTTCCCAAGCAATTGATTGCTGTGAAATAAATCCCATTAGATTGTGCAAATCATATTTTAAACTGTCTTTCTCCTGGTTAATATGTTCAAGGATTAAATCGGGATAAAACTAATGTCCATTAACTATAATTTCTCAGGGGGTTCATTTTCAGTAAATTATCTACGTGTCTATTAATCGACACATCTTTACTTCCAAGTCTAGCTTTTAATAAGTTAATAGCGTAACCATAATTTTCTGAAGAATATGAAAATCCTTCTGTTGTGCTTGATGCAGTTCCTCCTAAATATGCACACAAATAAATAAATTTATCTAATTTTACAAAGATTTGTTTTTGTGAATATCCTGTTCAAAACAGTTACAAAAGGAAAGCCATTGACTAATATCGCAATAAAATTTTGGAATAGATATTTTTGATAATTTAATACATTCTCCTCTATTACTTTCTAGTGTTTGAGTAAATAATTCCACTGTATAGGTTAGAGAATGAATTCGATGGGTTTATATCATTAAAAGTAGACTTTTAGTTTGATAATTGAATCCCTTTTTTTGTTCTAAATTTCTGCAACACAATTCTCTCATTACCTGTTAGATTTTAGAATCAGCTGTTGTAAGAGATTCAAACTTATCATTCAGCAGTTTTAAGACTTCTTCTAGCAAATGCATATCAACCAAAGCCTTATCTAATTCTAATTCTGTTCTCGTAAGAATTTAATAAGGGACGTTCTCAAACCACCTCTCTTTTTCTTCAGTTATTTCTTCTGTGGACATATTTACTGAATGAAAAGACATAAGAATCTTAAGAATTCAATAAGAGTGCCTTTCAAATTCAAACTTCATAAAATGAACAATATTATCTTCAGTTAATTCACTCACATCCCAGCAAAGATGCCATATGTTCCAAAAAAGAAAATGGATTGGTCACTACTCTTCGATCAAGATCTTTCTTTTGTCTAATCCAAATAATACCCAGAATATTTTTATTAAATGAAAACAATCTACTCATCGGGTAAAAGACACTTCTAAAATAATGACATATTTAAATTAACATTGCACATTACTACCTAAATATAGAGACACAAATGAGAAGTTATCAGTTACATCTATCCTTCATTCATCCAGTTCTGTTTTTGAGGCCACATGCATGTGCAGTATGATGTGAGTCGTTCATTGAGAATTTTAACAGATATAAATGTTGACAATTGTAAGTACAGTTTGGTTCTGAAAATTTGACTCGGTAATGTAATTGAAGTTTTTACAAATGAAAGCTGGAGTACTTAACCATAAACTAACATATTCATTTGATAGATTTCAATTAAAGGTCTTGTGCCTTATATATAAAGAGATAGATGTAGATAGCTTTGAGGGGCTTTAGTTATATAAATTGATGCATAAGAATTTCATAATTTTTCTCACATGTATTACAAAGTTTAGTTCAATTTCCTTAGAGAAAAAAACAATTGCAGTGCTGTTTTCTTTTTGTGTTATAGGGTCTCATGTATGCATTAGGAGGAAATAGTGGTCAGTTTTCCTTACAGTTGTGTGAAGTTTATGATCCTCATCTTGACAAATGGACTTTTATAGAATCAATGAATCAGTGCCGAGCTGGTGCAGGGGTAGTAGTGTTAGATGGATTCATATATGTAATTGGTAAGTAGGGAAAATATTTTGACAGGGAATGATTATCCTTAGATATATGCAAAATGAATAAAAAGTAGTCCCTAATTCATATGTAATTTTATGTAACATTTTTTGAGTTGTATTTGCAATATGAAAGCAAAGAATTTGTGCATCCTGCTGTAAAAGGAACAAAATGCTTTGATAAAAGAATTTCTTAATGTCATAAAAAGTACCAAATTGATAGGCAAAAATCTTTTGTAATGTATCGTCTAAATGGAAATTTATATAATCATCCAGAACTGGTACAGGTAGAGGAATAATTGGGAAAACAATCAGCATGCTTTTAAATTACAACCAGCGATGGATACAATATGGCAGGGGCTTTTGAAATGTTAGGCAGTAACATACAATTTTTCTAACACTTACTGAAACACTTATTACCTGTGATATTTAGTTTGCACTATGTCTGCCAGCTGCTATTCAAACAAATTAGGCAGATATGTTGTGAGATAGCCATATGTAATATTTTGTCTTTTCAGTGTAATAGTTATTTGCTAACTTTCCTAATAGAATTAGCCAGGGAAAAAAATCTTTTCCATTACATATGTATATATTGTGTTTCTTGTGCAGTTATTTTCATTTACATTATATATAAGTAGAAGTTTGTAAATCAGAATAAAATTCTTCATTCAAACTTCATCATTTCTTTTCAGGTGGTTTTGAAAATAATGTACCTTTAAATTCTGTTGAAAAGTACGATCCTGATACCAATAAATGGACTTTTGTATCTCCAATGAAATACTGCAGGGGAGGAGTTGGTGCTGCTACATTAGGAGGTTTTATATTTGCTGTTGGTGGTCATAATGGGTCTCAGTACTTAAATACGGTAGAAATTTATGATGCACAGAATGACAGGTATATAGTTTCAGATTCATTTAGAAACACATTCACTTAGTAAATTTACCAATATGTTATGAGTTATACAGTTTGCTTGCATGGTTCAATACTTATTTGAAATCCCAAAGCAGACAAATGAAGGGACTCCTCGTAAAATCTTTATCTTTGTATCTCATATGAGTCGGCTTACCGGAATTTTAGTTGCTAGCATTTATTGCTTGTAATTAAGGTACAATAACATGCCGAACAAGTATTAATTTAGAAGTCGAACAAAAAATCAACGTTATATTTTCAAAGGCGTAGTTTCAATGGTTTTACTGAACCATCATCTGAATGAACTAAACTATTGAAAAGCAGTCGCTATTGATAGGGACTTTTCACCCAACTTTATTAATCAAGCAGTTAAAAAATTCTCTTCCCAACACACCAAAATGCACACTCTTGTTTCAGATTATAAGAATTCTGTTATCATTCCCTTCTTTCCATCAATTAGCTATAAAATTGCACATATTTTGCAGAAATTTAACTTTCGGGTTGTTTATTCTCCCACCAATAAAATTCCAAGTTCCATACCCATTCCGGACATGAATTCCTGGGGTATTTACAGGATTCCTTGTCAGTGTGGTTTAATTTACATTGGTCAAATTAAGAGAGCCTTAAAATTCCACGTTAAGGAACATGAGCCATATGTTAGAAAAAAGGAAACATAGAAGTCTTCTGTTATCCAGCATTGTTGGTCCGAAAATCACACTTTAAATTTTTCTGCAGCCAAAATTATTCAAAAATCATCTTCCGTTGGTGAATTTGATTTTCTAGAGGCATTTCATATTCAAAAAAATCTTTCTGTTCTAGCTAACGACCCTAGTTCCAATCCATTTTGCCTCTAACCTGTAAGGAAATTGTTTCAGTTCTCGTTTCATCAACAGATGGCGCCATTAGCTGAACTCCTGTCCAATCTTTCTTATCTAATCACTATATCTTATCTCGTTCATTTGCGCTTTTGCAGCTGAGGATGATTGTTCGGTAAAACCATTGAAACTAGGCCTTTGAAAATATGATGCTGATTTTTGTTGTTTGACTTCTATATCAATTTATTGCTTCTATTTATTACTTTTAACACTTTTTTCCTAATTGCAGAAAACCTCAATGCACTTACTAATCTGCCAACAAATTAGCATTAAGTAAACATAATAACAAGACTTACAATTCATTCATCACTTACAATAATTACTGGGAGAAATATATGAATGTTAAAGTAAGTAAAAACCCATTGCTTAAATTTTTATTGAACCCTTTGCCAAGACTGAAGATTTTAGTTGTTCTATGTCATTTGTTTGCTGTGGGTGACTATAGTTGCTATCCATGAAATGCCACATATGATAGGAGACTATTGTTGTTCACAGTTTTGCTCGCTTTGTGATTTAATCTGCACTACAGTTTCAGTGTTCAACCATTATTTTTGAGCAGTTGTTTCTCAGTGCATGACAAAAGATTAACAACAAAGAAATGCTTTCCAAGTTGGTGCTGAGATTTTTTTTTTCCTTACAAAAGGTCATAAAGACAACATCATTACTTATTACCTTTCTAATTCTTAATTTTTCTATAACTTTTTATAGACTTCATCCGTTTTTAAAATGATCATAAATAACATAAAAACAGATATGATAAAAAGGGATTGATCTGAGCATCTGGAAGATAATCAGGTGAACTCACTGTTGGCACAAAGTTTAATTTGGTTTTATGATTATGGTAAAGCCTCGAGGGCTATCTGCCTAAGGGATGGGATGCCTTCATGGAAGACTTTCTAAGGGAAGCTGGTTCATATACACGTAAAACATGGGGAAAACCTCAAAAACGCCCATGCAGCCAGCCTGTTTGTGGGATTCAAAGAACAGACCGAACTACCAGTGTTCAGCAAATTTACCGTTCAGCCACTGGTGTGCCCTTTTTGGCACAATGAAAACAGTTCTAATCACAAAAGTATACTGAAGATATCCATAGAAGAAAATTTAAATGTATCTGAAAATTTTATAGCTAGTACTACATGAACTTCTGGACCACTCCAACCAAAAAGTCCATCCATTTTGTAGTCTTCAGGAATAAAGGCATCAGTTTTTAAAGTACTCTCAGTCATTCCTTTCTGAAAACTCTGTGCATTTCATCATTGAAAGGACAAATCATTATCAGAGTTACTAGAGCATTGGTTTTTGGGATTTGTAATCTGGTTTCTAATCAAGAATTATACCTTGTATATATGAAATGTTTCTAATTTGAGCATTACTATTACGAAAATCTTTAGTAAATTACAGAGGAACCTCAAGATATGAGCACCTCTATGTATGAGAAATTCGAGATATTAGGAAAGTATGAGCAAAAAATTTGTCTAAATACGAGCATTGACTCGAGTAATGAGCAATGAGCCAGGCTGTTTTTATGCATGGTGCCATTTCCCGATCCGGCTCGTCTCAGATGAAAACCCCTCGTCAGATCACTCGATGTTTATTGATCTACGTGTTTGTGCGCTTGTGTGTCAATTGTTTATTACATTTAATGTTAAAATAATTATTTCATGATGCATTCCAGGAAGATTGTTGCCTCAGATAGTGCTGCAAAGAAAAATAAGGAAACCATGGCTGTTGAAATTAAGAAAGAAATCATAGATAACCAAGCATGGTGTAAGAGTGATGGAATTGGCAAAGACATCGACGATTTGCACTATTCTGAAGGAGCAGGGAGAAATTCAGAAATTTGATGTAGCCAAAGGAGTTACCATTACTTCCAAACACTGTTCAAAACTCCTAGATGATGTTGAGAAGCAGTTGTGGGCGTGGATTAACGAGAAGCATTTAAAAGGTCGGTGTCGGAAGCTATCATACAGGTTAACTATGGTTGTATTATTTACCAGTGTTATTTATTAGAAAAATTTATTTTTATGTTGATATTTTTGGAGGTGCAGAGCAGATTAATTGGATTTCCATTATTTTCAATGGGGAAGTTTGTTTCTAGATACAAGAAATTCACTATACGAGCTCAGTGCTGGAATGAATTAAACTTGTATCTCAAGGTTCCACTGTATATGAATGTAAATCAAGTTATGTCTTTAATTTTATCATTTATGTAGAAAAGACACTTCAGTGTTATATGGGGAAAGAGTAGTTAAATCTCAACTTGAAGAATTTTCTAGTTTAATGGTACGATTTCTATATTGATAGCTTTTTTACATCTCCATCACTGTCAGATGAACTCTTTAGGACTTGGAATAAATACTTGTGGAACTGTGATGAAAAGACTGAAAGGAATGATGGAAAATTTTCAGCCACCCAAAATGAAAACTGGTGAGATGTTGGTTTTGCAAATTAAAAAAAAACCTGAATTTAACTGCTTTCAAAGATAGACGGGATGCACTTTGTTCAGTGGAAAATTCTAAGAGAATGGATTATGAAGCGAAAAACCGTCCAGCCCTGGAGAGATGAAAGAAACATAAATGAAGGGCATGGTAAAATTTTAAAGATTGTGTTCTTACATTTCATAAGAAGTGACCAAAAAGCTATGTTAGTAATCAATAAAAAAATACACTAATCAGCTGTGGGAGTGCAAAATATTCTGTTAACTGAATTGCTGTGGTTTCTATCAATGATTGAAACAAAATCTTTGCATTTTTTACTTCGGGATCACTCTTTCTTCTCCGAATGCAGATCTGAATCATTATTCATGAGAATCTGGTAGAATTGTGTTCATAGAAAATGAAGCATAAACTTCTAAAATCTAATGCTGATAAGGGACATCAGTTTTCCAAATTATACTTTTGAATGGATTAAGCAGTTATTTGACTTATGAGATAACGACATCATTATAATTTTTCATTTTTATAATACTGGAGATATGTTTCAAAAGAAAGAAAATGCGTATGAAAGCTTATGTTTATTTTCCAAGTTAAATAATATTTAAATTTATTTTTGAAATAAAAAATCTGTTATTATTCAGTAGTGATTACTAATTGGGGCTGTGCTGTGTTTGGTTAAAGACGAGAAACCAACAGTATCTTTGCATCCTTTCTTTCCATTGGAAATAAATTATCCTAATTATATTTCAGTGAGAAAAAATTTTCTGTAAATTCTTATAATTCAAAAAGCACTAAGAAGAAACTATCATTGGTTTTGCTTCTTTTTGGAATTAACATCTACATGAATTCATATAGGCATGCAAAACATTCTTTTATTGACTTTTTAATATACTCTGTGATCAAAATTGATCTGATAGAACTGTAAATCATTAATGATTATGATGAACCATTTTCACTAAAAAGTATCAACTTTCAATTGACTTCTTAAGCCCTTTCCCTGAATATAATCATGTAATGCTCATCATGTGAGAAATTTATTACATTATCTATCATATTACATTATTTTTGCAACACACATTTAATGGTTTTAGTATTTTAAACAACATCTCATGTATGAATGGATTGTATAATGAATTTTAGTTGTAGAAAATGGAATAAGTCCATTTACAAAACTATTGCAGTAAAATTTTGGATTTTATTCCTTTCCTTTGGAGTGATAACTTATTATTTTGTTTATTTATATTTTGTGGAAACTATTATACAAGCTAAGCTATTAGTTACATTAATGATTTTCTATCCCCCACACTGTTTATAAATTTCTTATATGCTGATCTGTAGTTTTGTCATTTATATTAACAGATGGAAAATGGGTCCTGAAATTAGTGACTGCCGTGCTGGGGCTGGTGTTGCTTGGTGTTCTTGCAGTGCTGATCACTTAAATAAATTATGTCTGCAAAAAAACAAAAATGAAAAGGAAATTTCATGATAAGTTTCTCATGTGATTCTTGTTTTTGTTTCTATTGTTGCATGTATAAAATCATTTTTGGAATTTTTCATGTGCTGTTTCAAAACCTTAGTTAAAAATTCTCTAAGCACTGTAGTTATAGATATTAATGAAAGATCTGTTGACAATTTTACAATCTTTACAAGTTTAATCCTGGAGTAGTCATGCAAGAAATTTTTTATAAATAGTCACATGAATGGTAGATGCTTTTTGTGTTTTTATTGCTCAAAATTATTTTAAAGTAAAGTAATTTTTCTCATCTCTGATAATTTAGCGAAAAATTTCACAAAACTTATTTAATAAATTTGCTTTTATATTAAAGGTATAATGAATATGAATACTTTTTTTATCATGAACTCTTAAGATCAACAATCTTTTTCATTAAGTTCTCTTCTGAGACTAAAATTTGAAGACCTCTGTAATAAAATATTCCTGTTCATGAGTTTCCCTTAAATTAACTTTTTGAACCTAATTTCCCTGCACATCAGGATTATTCTGTCTTTCTGTTTTTGTCCCCCTGTCTAAATGTTCAGAATAAAAATTGTGCAATTTAATTCATTGAGCATAATTGCTAATTTTTGTAGTAGTTAGCAGACACAACTATAATGGTGGGCATGGATCTACATCTTGGGAAAGGCATAGATGTTTGTAATATTTCTACCCCCTTTGCAATATTAATTTATACATAATGGCCCTCCTAATAATAAACTCTAAAGTGAAATTTAGCCATCCCCAATGAAATCCCTTATTGATAAGCAGTTAGTTAATCTGGGGGGTTGACAAAGTAGAGGGATAGTGATAATATAGCTCTAAAAAGCTGAAGAAATCACCAATTTTCTGAAATTTAAAATATTTGATTATATTGTAAGCTAATGTCAAATAAAAGTAATGACAATAATTAAAGGCATTAAAGCTAGATACAAATAAAAGTAACCTATATAAATTTGTTTTTAATTAAAATTGTGATTAATTGAGGAAGTAAATTTTTTTCTTATTATTGATATGTAGCTGTTCATATGGATGACTTATTTTTGATCTAAAATAAAATGCAAGTAAATCTTAGTCAATTCTTGCTAGCAAATTTCTTAACTGGCAACATTCTTAAATATATATATATATATATATATAAAGTTGCATGATTGTATTTTTTCAATTTATTTCATGCATCTCACAACCGAATTGTGTAAATAATGAGGCAATATAAACTGTCTTCTTCAAGTGATTACTGAGGATTAAATATAACTTTTTGTGTGTGCGCTTAATGTGTATAATTAAGTGCCTTGTATATATTTGTTTTGTAAATTCCAATATGTGTTTTAGATAGCATAATTTTGTAATCATTTGCTTGTAATTGTGATACTCAGTTGCTACATAGTAATGAGCAGGTGTCTCATTTCAAATAAGAAATTTTAGAGAAATATTTTATTACTGTGATTTCATATTATATCATTGGTTTTCTTTCTAAATGGCTCAGCCTGATTTTCATTTTACTGTGTCTCTCTTTCCTCATCTTTAGCAATAACTGTTTCATGCCAAGTTCATATTCTATGTTTGCATGTTTCTAATCTTCCTTTTTTAACTTCCAACCTATTTTTGAAAACTTGTGTACATCTTACTTTTTTGTGTTGTGGTATACACATGTATATTGATGGAACTGAAATAAGACTATTTATTTAGTGTGAGTTTCTGAAGAGTAGTATTATAAATGTAGTTAAAAGGTTAACGAAACTGCTAATTCACTTGTCAGGTGTGTAATAACATAAATACATCTGTTTGAATAACCTTTACAGTTGTTCATAAAATAAAAATAATAGCTGTCCTGTTTAAATCCAGTCAATGAACAGGTTATTTCAGAATGAAAACAATGTGATTATGGTAAGGATATCCTGAAATAGTTTATATTATGGTCACTTTCATGTGACATCTAAAGTAACATGCATTGAAAACTACCTAACCTTTGATCTCCTTCTGAAAAAAAAAAAAATACACTTGGAAGGAATCATCCAAGCATGATTAAAATTTACTTTGTATAACAGAATACAGTACAAATTCCGGTAACTGGAATTATTACATTATTATTAACTGGACATTATTGGGACTTCAGCTATATGGGATATTTCTGGGTTTTAGATCATTTAGTTTAAATCTAGTAAGATAACATGTAGATATGGTAGTATTGGTGCTTCACTCATTGTTCATGTCAGATAGAAAAAAGCTAACCCTCCCCCACCACAGAGCTTGCACGAGAACAGGTAGAATTGGAGGAGCACTGAACAGCAAAAATTAGGGAAGGCAGAATTTTTAGAATTTAGGAGAGACTGAGCAGTGGAATTTATTGGTGTCAAAATTTTTGGAATATAGAGATGCATCATGCAGCAGAATTGACTCGCAGAAATTGCATCTGGCCCTGCCCCCCTCAAAACTACCCAAGGGTCAAATGTGTGATCTTGGCTAACATCAGTACAATGTCAAACAATGCATTATTATTAGCCACGGTGCAGCTTTCTAGCCAACACGTGTTTGAAAGTGCCATCCGAGAATCTGGGTTTACATTAACTGGATGCATGCTACAATTTTATTTTTCCATTCCTAGACTTTCCTAGTAAAGGAGAGATTTTTATTCTTATTTTTTTGGATAGAGATCTGGATCATTCCGCTGGACAGCCAGATTTCAGACTGTGTACTGTACTATGCACTTTTCTTTGGATAAAATAATGCTGAGAGAAATCAGTATGTTGTATTTTTACCTTTGGTTTAGTTGCAAGTGATTAATGGCATAGAATAACTAATATATTATAGAATATATATAACTTTTTTATGTGTGGTCTGTATGGTTACATATTTTGTGCAGATGTCATGATGAGCTGGAATAGTATTTGCATCTCTCTGACATGCTTGAATGAAGCTAGGGATCAGGCTGGACTAAAAATGAGGGAATATCATACAGCCAGTCTTGAGAGAGTCATTCTGTAAATAGCCATATGTTGTTTTATTTAAAATAGCCTAGATTCTGAGATCAAAATGTTAACTAAACTGAGTTCAGAATACTCTCAGCTTACTATTAAGACGTTTTCCCACTCAGTCAGTATAGCAGTTGAATGGCATTTTGCATTCAAAGCTGATTCCATGCACTAACCTGCATGTCTACAGATACATTTGCTGAGACCATGAATATCCAGTGCAAACCGTGTATTACTACAAAAGACCATATGATTAGCTAGACATTATCCTGTACTAATCAAGGCAACTATTACTTCAAAAGTAGTAGCAATGTTTAGTAGTCATTGGCATATGAGAATTTTGGCCTGACGTTCGGTGCTTATTCTGGACTCATCATATATATTTGTTTAAATCTAATGTCCATAAAAAATATCATATAGCTATGGATGTAAGGAAGACTGTGTGGTAAGATGTTAGCAGCTAAAAGAGAAAACACAATAAGCCTGTGAAAAATTGATATGTGTAAGGAAAATTGTTAGTAACAAAACCCATAATTTTAAATTTGTACCAATATGTTAACCTTCTATGCAGTTAAAAGCAGTTTACCATGATTTGAACCTGGGTTGAACTACTAGTAGACAAAATTAAAAGATCAAACACTTTTCCGTAAATATCTCAAGAAATACTGAATAGAAATAAATTAAATTGGCTATATATATAGCGTATTGTATAACATTAATGTGTATACAATAACAATGAAAATGCCATTCATTAGCATGAGTTACGACCAAGAGTCCAATGTTGTCCAAACTTGAGGCTTAAAGATGGCAGTGAAAATATGGCTAGTGTGTGGTCACCTCTGACAGGTGGACAGCATGCACAATGAGTAGAAATGCTTTTAACGAGAGTTCAGGAGCACCTGTGGAAGTTGCACCCGCTCCTCCACCAGAGCAGTTTTTAAATCCTGAATGGTTCTGAGTGGGGGCTGGCATATTGCAATAGTCCTCCCCAAAGCATCCCAAGCATGTTCAATAGGATTAAGATCAGGAGATTTGGCTGGCCAGTCCATTTGATGAATATCCTTGCCTTCCAAATAGTCATCAACCACATGGGCCTTGTGTGGTCGTGCATTGTTTTTCGTAAAAATTAACTCAAGGCAAACAGCACCCCTGAAAAGTTGCACATAGGGCTCTAGGATCTCCTGCCTATACCTCTGTTCTAAACTGTTCAAGTTGGCCACTATTATAAAAGACTTAATTTTACTCATTTATATAATGAATAGTTTAATGCTTTAAAAAACATACTAAAATTTAAAACTTTTCACACAACTTTAAGACAAAATTCACATCTTGCTGAGAAATTATAACTTCAGTATGTAAGAATGTGTGAAAAATAATGTTTTCTTGCTGACATGTATTTTTTATGAAACTCATAAACCTAAAATTTCATTTTTCTGTGTGCTGATTATTAGTTCCTGCAGTAGCTAAATTTAAATTCTGTAAAAGATTAAATTATTATTAAGAATGTATTTTATCCTGAGGACATAATTTAACACGTATTTCTACCGATGACGCATGATGGGAAAATTTATTGGAATAAAATTCTGTATATCTTTTGTATTGACTTGTAATTTGTGAGGTGAAATTTCTAAGATCAAGCAAGAGTATTTTATTGTAAATGGGCTCAAATCAATGAAATATGTGATGTTGGAATTTTAAAATTTTATGAGAACACAGCACTAAGCAATACGTAACTAGACCTTGTGATCTCGACAGTTATTTTTGGACCAACTCTAGCTGGTATGAGCTAGCAGCTGATCTCAGTTTCACTCCAAAGAAGTTTTGCTCTGAAGTTAAGAGTCTTTTTTTTTCCTTCTCTGTGGGCATGTGAGGTTGCCAAGTTTAGTAAAAGTGCATTTAATGGCAGTATAAATTATATTTTAGATTACACTGAAATTTCATATCGCCAATTACAGGGATAAACTTCTTTCTTGTGAATTTCTTTTCTCAGAATCTTTTTTGGAATTTATTGCTTACCGTTTGCATAATTTATTTGTTATGAATATATTATGTTTCAGTGAAAACGTGGTACCAAAGATTGTTGATCATCTCTTATGTAATTAATTTTATGTTATGTTTGTTATGTGTCTTTGATTGCTATTTCAGAATCAAAGCATAGAAATTTGTGCATGTTGTTTTTGCTTAATGAAATATTTTTGGAAAAGGAATTCAGATATTTTGCATATATTTCTGAATAACTGAAATGTAATTTCTGTATGCATTAAATTTTATTTTAACCCTTAATGCTCGAAAGGCTCTGCTGTGGACACGTATTAATGCTATAAAAATCGAAATATTTCGTTATGGAGACATTTTATATATATATATATTGATAAATGAATTATTTGATAATGTAAAATTGGTGTATATGAAATTTTATGACGATTGTGATTAAATGACAGTTTTTGTTGCAAAATGTAGCCAATTAGCAGGCAGTCCTAATGTGCAATTTTGTTAAACCAAGTTATCTGTGTGACACAAAGAATATTTTAAAAATTAATTCTTGCATGATTTATTTAATTTGGTTTATTGGTATATTTAGTTCTATCTGTTAGTATATGTTATAGTATTAAATCTCGAGCATTAATGGTTAAAATGTGCATCTATATGCTGTATTACATTGAACAACGAAAATGGAGAGCTTTTTGTTTTAGGAATTTCAAATTCTGATCTTTGTATCATTTTTTGCACTGATTTCAAACCTAGGTTCCCAAATTTTTGTTTTACGCACATTAGCTGAGTAATTCATTTTTTTTTATTTACTAATTTATTTTGGTGGGTTAAAAAATATTGCTGTTTTACCTATGAAAGGCTATTATAATAATTATCTTAGAATAAAGATTTAATCAATTTTCTTTGGTTTTTATCTTTTGTTCATCCCATTTTAGAGTCCAATAATAGTTGATTAGCATTTTTGTTTCATTTTCCTGTATAATGTGTTCTCATTGCACATACATTCTGATGGAAATGTTCTCAGTCAGTGTGTAAATACATCACACACTAATTTTTTTTTTGAAAAAAGTAATTGCTTCTGTGTGATTCTTTGTCACTTAGTTGCATAAGAAGTTTCCTGTTTTTGTAGGATTTCCATGATTTAAATTCAGCGTAACTCATTGTGCCTTCACAGATGTCTGTCTCATTCTGTCTGTTATTTTGGGGGCTAAAACGATGGAAACCTCCATAATTTTGGTTGCTGTTTTCCTAAGGAAAAGAATCTTCTGTTTTTGTTACTAGTATCTTTATAAAGTTTTCCATTATGCTTAGTTTGATACAAAGAAATATCAAATGCTGAATAAGTCAGAAATATGCTCACACATTTGATTATATCATGTGATGGCAATATTATGGCTACTAGATGTGAAATAGTACTGTTAAGAGAGTCGGTTCCTCAAGCCAAAAAATAATACCAACCAGATACATTTTATTGCTTTTCCTGTGGCCTGTTAGTAAATGCATCCACAATTGTTAGCAGTGTTGTTGCTTCAGAGTTACTGCAATTTTTTTTAGGTTTTCTTTTCTGGGTGTTTCTTCAGTTGATAGTCAATGTCATTCTCTATCAAATTTTTTAAATCAACAATTTTCGCATCTTCCGCAACGGTTAGACCTAACTCTGCAGCAACGAGCTTTAACTCATCTTTCCTTAATTTAGCAATCAAAGGCATCCTTTAACTATAAGTAAAGCTAAATAAGGTAATTGCTCTTACTTCAAATCACTGGATCACTCGCTAAATGGACTCAATGGAAATCACCGTCACTCATACGCACTAAGTAATCCAAGAATCTTTCACATCATTCACAGGCCTCTGACGGACCATGTTAAGGATACTCTTAAACAAAATAATCACATTTACTCTTTCACACCTATAACTGTTTATTCATAACTTCAAAATGAGTTCACATATCACTCACACAGTGGTTCTCCGCCATTGTCTTCATCTCATCTCTGCCGCTTTCCGCTCGGGGGCACTGCTGCTTATTAGAGCATGCGCAAACATGCCCCTGGCATTGAATTGTTTATAAAACATTCAATCACTAAACTATATGAGACATTTCACAGTACTTTACAAATTATAACACTTCAGTAACATAAGTATGCAACATAGTACTTTAGCCATAATACAATACATAAAATAAGAAATAATTCTCATTAAAAGTTAACATATACACAAAGTAAAACAATATCTCTTATACACTTAATATATAGCAATTTTCATTCAGGCTTAGGTAAAGCACAGATTTTGGAAATGCATCTTTTGAATACACCTGCTTTAGTTTTAATTTTAACAACCCGAATTTTTTTATCATCACCATAATACACATCAATTATTCGACCTACAACCCATTTGTGAGTAGGTACATTATCCTCTACCAATAACACTAAGTCTCCTATGTGAATATTATCTTCTTCAAATCTCCATTTATTTCATTGTTGCAGTTCATTTAAGTAACTACGGTGCCATTTTTTCCAAATCAACTGCATGATTCTTGTTATTCTCTCCCATTTTTTAAGTCGATTTTCATTTAAATTGGGTTCAATAACTGAAGTTATTGATCTATTTATCAAAAAATGTGCAGGAGTTAAAACTCCAAAATCATCTTCATTAGCTGTTAACGGACACAGAGGTCTTGAATTTAAAATTCCCTCCTCAATCTGTACAATTACGGTTAAAAACTCCTCATACATTAAATTTACGCTGCCTACGACTCTTTTAAAATGGTATTTAAATGACTTAATTGCAGCTTCCCAAAGGCCTCTGAAATTGGGTGCCCCAAGTGGTATGAATTTCCATTCAATATTCTCGGCCGATAAATAATTAGCTAAAGTTTCATTTGGGATTTTAATTAAGCTATGAAGTCTTTTTATTTCTTTGTTGGCACCAGTGAAATTTGTGGCATTGTCCTGAATATAATTTTGTGCATTTACCCCTACGAGATATAAATCTCTTTAATGCAGCTATAAAGGCTTCGGAAGTTAGATCCATCACCATTTCGATATGCACTGCCTTTGACACAAAACATACAAATATGCAAACATAAATTTTAAGTAAAATTCCTTTTCTTTGGTTACGATATCTTATAAAAAATGGACCACAGAAGTCCACTCCACTTCAATTAAAAGGATAATCTGGTACAACTCTGTCTGATGGGATATTTCCCATTATTTGTTTACAAACAACTGGTTTGTTTTCTAAACATACAATACAATCATGTACAACTTTAAGACAAATAGAACGACCATTTAATGGCCAGAACTTTTCACGCACGTGACTCAATAATGCGGTTGCACCAACATGCAAATATCTTTTGTGACAATGTTCAATAACCAATAAAGTAAATTTGTGAACTTTAGGTAATATTGCTGGATGTTTAGCAAAATAAGTAAGATTTGTCTTACCGAAACAGCCTCCTACTCTGAGAACTAAATCAGAATCCAGGAAGGGATTCAGATTCTTTAACTTACTTTTATGTAAGACAGTTCCGTGCCTTATTAAATGGTGGATATCTTCGCCAAAGCATTCACTTTGAGTTACTCTTATCAGGAACAATTCTGCTTTGGTTATTTCCTGCACACTAATTGGTCCTGACAATCTGTCTAAGGGCTTTTTCAAATTATTCACGAACCTGAAAATGTAACTAACAACACGTAAAATAGTTATATAATTATTACTCAGTTTAAGTAAATTATGTAAAAAATTATTCACAGTCACATTCAACACTAGTAAAGTGTCTTTGGAGTCTTTATGATATGGGGTTTTGAGTTCGGCACTGAAATCCTCACTTTTATCCGAGATAGTTACTGTCCGCGTTGGATAGTCACTGTCCACCAGAAACGTTGGACCACACCACCACAATTTAGGATGCATTAGCTTATCAGGATCTACACCCCGTGATAGGAGATCCGCCGGATTCTGATCCGATGCCACATGATGCCACTGTTGAACAGATGAAAGTTCTTGAATTTTGGCCACTCTATGCTGAACAAACTTCTTAAGGTCTATAGGTTCCTTTTGTATCCATGCGAGAACTATCATTGAATCTGTCCATAAGTAGACTTGAGTCACTTCTAATGTCAAGGCGATAAGGACTTTCTTCACCAACTCTGATAATAAGACAGCTGCACATAGCTCAAGCCTGGGAATAGTTAAGCTTTTAAGAGGAGCAACTCTTGATTTACACGAGATTAATTTTTAATTTAAGTTCTGCCAGAAGAATCGATGGACTTGCAATAAACTACTGCTCCGAAACAACGTTCAGAAGCGTCAGCAAAACCATGGATCTCAACTTTTTAGCTTGATCAATCACTATACGTCTGTCAATATCGATACTGTTTATGCTCTCTAGTGTAACCAGAAATTGATGCCATTCCTGATTTTCAGCAGTAGGAAGTTTGTCACTCCAATCAATTTTAAGACGCCATAGCTCCTGCATGAAAATCTTTGCTTTGGCTATAACAGGACCAAGAATACCCAAAGGATCAAATATTCTGGCAATCGACGATAAGACACATCTCTTAGTATACAAAGCACTAAGCTCTATTTTAACTCTGAAGGAAAAGCAATCCTTTATTGGATTCCATGACACGCCCAAGGTTTTTGTTTCAGTTAGACTGGAGAATCTGTATTCTTCCCGGTTTAGAGAAAGTTCCGAATGATTTGCGCACCATTTATGCAACTGCATGCCTGCTCTTTGCAAAATCGATATAAGCTGCTGTTGTAACTCCTTAGCCTCTTTTAACGTCGGAGCTCCGCATAACACATCATCCATATAGAAATTTTCACGTAACACAGGTACTGCCAATGGAAAATTGCTCTCTTCGTCTAATGAAAGCTGTTTTAGTGTCCTCATTGCTAAGCAGGGAGCACTGACCATACCATACGTAACGGTTACCAGCTCATAGGTCTTTGGTGGCTCATTAGCACTATCGCTCCATAGGATTCTTCTTTCATCTATCAAAATCATCCTATATATTTTTTCACATCGTACAATCACATATACGTGAATTCGAAATCTGATCATTATCAAAAATAAATCTTTTTGTATAATTCCACCGCTATACTGGAGAGAGTTGAGTGAAGTACCGTTAGTTGTTAAACTTGAACTGTTAAACACAACTCTTAATTTAGTACTAGTTTTCTCTGGTTTATATTCCATGATGTGTTGCATAATATGCCACTTCAGGCTCTTTCTCTTCTTTAACTTCCTTCATCTGTCCTAGTTGAATATACTCATGAATGAAGTCGCAATATAGAGAGAGATGATTTGGATCTCTCGACAAGCGAGTCCACAGCGATCTGAGGTTTTTAAGAGCAATGTCTCTAGACTGACCTAAATACGAAGGATCATCTTTAAGAGGCATTTTTACCACATATCTATCTTCCTCATTTCTCCAGTGCGTTCACACAAAATATTCCTCACATATAGAATTTTCTTTACTTTTGCTTAATTCTAAATCTACATTTTCAATTTCCCAAAACCCTTTTAATGTTTTATTTAAATCCTCTTCGCGTATCAATCCGCAATGTATCTTAGACTCATTTCCCTGATCTACACTTCCACTGGCGACATAGCCAAACACTATTTTGTAAAAGCAATTTTGAATTTTGTGCATAAATCTGTCCCGGTCTCAGTAATTGATAAAATATCTTTGCACCTAACAACATTTCAATGTTCCCTGGCATATTAAAACTGTAATCAGCTAATGGTACTAAGTCTGAAACCTCAATATTTACATTAAGTACATGATGTGGTATAAAATCTAATTTTTTTACTACAAGCAAATTTATCACTTTCTCAAAACTCCTATTTTTATTTGTGATTGTTGTCATAACAAAACCTTTCACTTGTCATTGACGATTCATTTAAACACGAGATTAATGTATTTATTTTTTCGCTTTTTAATCCTAAGCGCTTCATACATTGTTCACTTAATAAACATGTCTGAGAGCCTGAGTCCAATATACATCACACCTCTTCCCACTGCAAACAGTTATTTTTAATTAATGCTTGAACTGTACTCGGTGGAACATTCTTTGCGTTAGCTTTCGTAAAACTAGTGGCGACGACAGATTTATTCATGTTTGACTCATTGCGTGAGGGGAAAAACTGCACCTTCACTAATTTGATTTTCGGTCTGCAGTTCAAGGACATTCAATGAAGTCTTGCAATCGGGCTTATTTTTATTTTATCTTGAAAAATGAATTAATTTATTATGTGGTTTGCCACAGAAGCAATCTCTCGCTGAGCAATTTCTTGCACTACATTCAGGGGACAAACATTTGAAACATGCCTTGTTCATTTTAACAACTTCTACTCTTTCAGGAACTGAAAGTTTTTTTAATTGCGGACAAAAGTTTAAAGCGTGGACTTCATTATTTTTACACAAATTACATTTAACACCGTTTTCTTCCGATAAAAACACATTCGAGACCTTTTTTTGAAAACACGAGTTCTGAAACTTTTGCTGTTTGTGACCTTCAAGCCGTTTAATTTCGTTTCCATTAGAAGTTTTGTAAATACATTATATTGTCTACTTTTACCTACCCTTTGAAGTTAAATAAATGTAAATGCACTCTTGCCCTAGCTGTTATTGGTTAAAATATGATTCTCCTTGTTTAATTGCAATATGTGTCATCAATTCGCGATCAAGTAAACCAAATATTCTATCTGATACAATTAATTCACATAATGATTTAAAATCACTCGCTTTACGCAACTGATAATAATACTCAAATGGTAGCACTTAATCTTGAAGCAAATTGTATACATAACTCTCTGAATGTAATTTTTGCACTCTTTGAAAACTGTTTAAACACTCTTGTGGTGTTGGTTGAAATTCTTTCAACACTATTGTCTTAAGCTTATCATAACTGCGCAAGTCTTCCTCAGTCAAATAAACCATTAAATTATTCGCTCTCTCACCCAGAATATTTAAAAGAATTTCCGATTTTAGCTCATCGGGCACACTTTTGGTTTTAAACGCTTTCTCAAGGGACTGGAAAAAATGATTAAATGACTCTACTCTCGTAGGCACTGGGATACACAGCGTTTTAATACTTTTAATTAAATTTTCTAAACTGTCCTTTGACGGTTCTGCTGTCAAACACGACATATTCTGTGACAACTCCTTTCGCATATTCGCGATTTCAAGTTCTTTCTCCAATTGCGCTAGTTTGATTTTCTCTAACTCTAGCTTTGTTTCGTTTCCGAGTTTGTGTAACACAATTTTTGACTCGGTTTAGGCTTTATGTTTTTTCGCTTCCTCAAGCGCATAATCAACTACACTTGTGGATGTCTTGAACATAGGAAATGTTAAACATTGCTCTTACTCCAATAAGATTAATATTTAATTTTTTTAGATATAGAATCACACAGACAAAAAATCAGTCATCGTTCTTTTTCTTCTCTCTTGCTTCATGTTGCCATTCTGGCGAAAAGAAAAGTGCATGCGAGAAGTTTCATAGATGGCGCTTCATTAACGCGAATGATGTCGCCACACACCCCCTTCCCAGTGATAGCGTTATACCTCGTAATCTTTCAGGTATGCAGGAAATCTCACCCTTCGTCCAGCTTTTGTGTTTCTAGGATGAATATCTTGGGAAGAATCGTTGTCTCCAGGAAGTGGAGGTGAGATTTTGGAGTTATCAGCTTCATGTGTAGGGAGATTTGTTGTTGTTTCAGTCTATCTATCGATATCCTTTTAATTTTAAACGCTTTTGGTTTTGAACGCTTTCTCAAGGGACTAGAAGAAAAGATTAAATGACTCTACTCTCGTAGGCACTGGGATACACAGTGTTTTAATACTTTTAATTAAATTTTCTAAACTGTCCTTTGACGGTTCTGCTGTCAAACACGACATATTCTGTGACAACTCCTTTCGCATATTCGCGATTTCAAGTTCTTTCTCCAATTGCGCTAGTTTGATTTTCTCTAACTCTAGCTTTGTTTCGTTTTCAAGTTTGTGTAACGCAATTTTTGACTCGGTTTCGGCTTTATGTTTTTTCGCTTCCTCAAGCGCATAATCAACTATGCTTGTGGATGTCTTGAACATAGGAAATGTTAAACATTGCTCTTACTCCAATAAGATTAATATTTATTTTAATTTTTTAGATATAGAATCACACAGACAAAAAATCAGTCATCGTTCTTTTTCTTCTCTCTTGCTTCATGTTGCCATTCTGGCGAAAAGAAAAGTGCATGCGAGAAGTTTCACAGATGGCGCTTCGTTAACGCGAATGATGTCGCCACACACCCCCCTTCCCAGTGATAGCGTTATACCTCGTAATCTTTCAGGTATGCAGGAAATCTCACCCTTCGTCCAGCTTTTGTGTTTCTAGAATTAATATCTTGGGAAGAATCATTGTCTCCAGGAAGTGGAGGTGAGATTTTGGGAGTTATCGGCTTCATGTGTAGGGAGATTTGTTGTTTCATTCTTGAGGCTGAAACATGGTTTCAGTCTATCTATCGATATCCTTTTAATTTTAAATGCTTTTGGTTTTGAATGCTTTCTCAAGGGACTGGAAGAAAAGATTAAATGACTCTACTCTCGTAGGCACTGGGATAAACAGCGTTTTAATACTTTTAATTAAATTTTCTAAACTGTCCTTTCACGGTTCTGCTGTCAAACACGACATATTCTGTGACAACTCCTTTCGCATATTCGTGATTTCAAGTTCTTTCTGCGCTAGTTTGATTTTCTCTAACTCTACCTTTGTTTCGTTTTCGAGTTTGTGTAACGCAATTTTTGACTTGGTTTCGGCTTTCCGCAATGATAGAAGGCCATTTGAAAGATCTGCGTAGCCCTAAATCGAGCTCCAAATAATTTTTGACCGTATGTTTTGATTGTTGTACCGTTAGCTGCGAATAACTCAAGCTTAGCCACAGTTCTTTTTTCCGATGGTGATGGTGGGATAACCGATATTTCTGCCCCAGTGTCAATTAAAAAATGGGTTGCTGATGCGTTGTCACGAATATATAGACGACTCAGCTGTACCCCTTAACTTTCTATCGTCATCGAAGGCCGGGGAATCAGTTGACTTGGTATTTACATGGTGGGGTGCACTTGTACCCTCTCTCACCAAAGCGTTGATGAAAATAACAATTATTTGGGTCATTGTTATTTTTGAAACAATTTCTAGAATTCGACCTGTATCGTCGTCTTTGTGGACTGGAATTTCTATTCTGCTATCTGGAATTCATTTCTGCTATCTGCAGTGTCAAGTTTGATATCTGCTTCTGTAAATCCTCAGGGGTAATGTTATCAGATGGAGAAGAAACAATGCGAGCTACCTGAGATGGATTGGGATTTAGTTCCCATATTTTGTCAGCCATTGTAGACAATTTGGACAAATCATCACTGCTTACAGATAAAATGCTCCGCATATCAAGTGGTAGTCGTTGCATCCACAAAGTTTTTAAAAATTCATCTGGCACTTTCTCAGCCGCCAAGTTACGCATTTCGCAGAGAAGTTGGGATGGTTTCTTATCACCCAGTTCTAATTCGGTCAGAATTTTTCGGGTTTTCTGTGTTTCAGAGTCGGCAAAAATTTCAATCAGCCTTTTTTTAATGGCCGGATATTTGCCGTTGTCTGGTGGTTTGGTGAGAATATCGGAGATATGTGACAATGTCCCTGTTTCAATATGTTAGCTTTAATCTCCATTACCAATCTCAAGACGGCTAGGGGTAAGTCGGGCTTTCACTTTTCATTCAATCTGGATAACTCTTGTATTTTATAAATGCTTTATTATTACAATAAATATATACATATATACACATCATTACGGAACATTCTTAACATCAATCCTATTCTCTCGCTTCCCGATTCTCGATTGATATCGTGCGCCCCATATCGGCGGCTTTTCTACAATGCCATCTATCGGCTGATAACATTCGGTCATTCTGACCTGACAATTGTCCCGATTGTTCGGAGTACAAATCAATTTTATAATTAATACAATTTTCT